GGTTCCTAAACCCTTGTTCTAACTTGAAGTGCCTCTCATCTCTTTGCTCCTATCCTCATTCCTGCTTCACCTCCACTGTGTCCGTGTGAATCGAGCTTTAAGTATGTCAGTCTGAATTAAGTATGTAAAGCAAAAGAAAAAGGTAGACAATTATTGGTTTTTTTTTTGTTGTTTTTTTGGTACAGAATGATTCCAAACATTTTAAAAGTGTAAATGGGGGAAAAAATTGTAATCATGCAATTAGATTTTTCCTGCTGTACATAACACCATTTGCATTCCTCAATTGAGTATAACGATGCACTAATTCAAATTCAACCACATGTGAGATGTTTATTTTATGATGCTGTTTGAATTAGACTTTAACTGGTAAAGCAGATGACTTATGTGAGTATTGCATAACTTTATTTTATCATGCATTTTTTTCTAACCATGCGCTGTTTGACAATTCATTGAAATGTTTGCCCACCTTATGCTCGTGAGATTAGTTTGAGGGTTGAAAGTACAGCATTTTGAGATGTTTTGACATGCATAGCAGGCTTCGGTACTCTATATGCATTGTTGTTGTAGCACTGGAAGCTCCATGCCAAGGGGAAAATGTGTTAATTCTGAGGGAGAAGGTTGTAATTTCAGAATCTTGGCTGTTTGAGCAGATAATCTCACAAAGACAAGTTATCTGTTGTACTGTAAACATATTTAATGTTGTCATATATCTGTATATCATGAATTGGCTTTATTAAAATTATGAAACAGATGTTGGTGTGACTGTCACTGGGGGGAAAAAAGATGGGATAAACTTTGGTGAGCTGAGTTAAGGTGCAAGCTTTTGAACCAGGTACACTTTTTTTTATCTGAGTTAAACTGGAAAAGCAAGAGCGGGTAAATAACCTGCAGAATAGAATATGATGTATTGATGTGGATTAAACTACACACAGTATAGAAGTAGTGGAAGTCCAGTGTGTAGGCTTTGGTGGCATCTAGCGGTGAAGTTGCAGATTGCGTCTGTATTTGATGATCTGGGAATGAGAACTGGATGTGGAGTGTGAAGGAGAAACCACGCAAAACGCAGAAGGCCCTATATACAACCAGTGTTTGGTTTGACCTTTCTCGGCTACTGTAGAAATAAGGCAGACTCCATGGGTGGCAATCCACAATTCCTATAGGTGAACATAAATGAATGAAAACAAACCTCTGAATGTTATATTCTATTTCTGCCAATAGATCCTCCTAAATGTTACACACTGGACTCTTAAGTTAAGGATCTGAATACTTTCCTCTAAATAAATGTTAAATGTTTTTTTTTTATTACATATGTGTTGTAGTTATACTTTAAATCTGAGTCGCATAATACAACAATTTAAATTTTAACCAGAGTTTGGAACTATTTCATTATAAATACTTGCTTAGTGCTCCACTGTCTGCAGCTGGTTTCTTTTAGTGTTTATTTTCCGCCTTTACCTTTTTACATTGAGGACTTTTACTTTTTGCTATTAATTCATACTTTTATTTTGGTAACAATTTCAGTGCAGTACTTGTAAAAATATATTTTTACTGTGTGCTTTTACTACTTCTCCTCAGGACCCCAACACTTCTTCCACCACTAAAATAAATATAATAAATATAAATACATAAATTGAGAGGGAAAAAAAAACCCACAGCTCTGCGATCGTCTGCTCGACCTCCATCTTATTTCCGTCTATCGATTAGTCGAGCCTTCACACCGGAAGCGACAGAGAGGAGCACAGCAGGCAAGATGGTGGCCACCAGGAGAGGAGTACGCGTGTGCTCCCCGAGTCAACCCGACCCCGAGCAGCCCTCCGAGGTCCCGGTAGGTGTGGAGGAGAGTTGTTCTTCAACCCTGTAAATGTTCAGAGGTCACATAAAGCAGCGACCCGAGGGGCACGGAGACCGTCACGTGTCTGTTGAGCGGTGTGTGTGCGCTGCTCAAACCTCACGTGGTCCTCTCACAGTTTGTAAACGTGTCGCTGTTGTGACACGAGCAGGACAGGGAAACAGTCAAATATTTATAATGTGGTCCCGTAAACACAGTGCTTAACAAACAGTTAATAGTTAGGCAGCACTGAGGCTGTGAGAGAGTTTAAGATCCTCATTACTGTTAGTGATCAAATCTCAGATGGTGTGTTAGGGTTGCAGTATTGTGTCTTTTTTATTGTCAACAAATGCTGTGGGGAAAAAAACAACAAACAATGAATTGATCCTACTAACGGTGTGTGGCCAGAGTCTGATGCATTATAGTCTGGGTGACATTTTCCTTCACCACCATAAACAGTAACTGTATTTTATTTCCACCCCACATTCAGAGCAACACATGTGTATCAATCCGCTGCTGAAAATAGTCCCCAAGACATTTAATACTCAGTCCTGTTTGAGTAACGTTTGAAAATAATAAAGCTGTGTATTTGTGACCTATTTTTAAATGTATTATTTGTGCCACACAGAGGCTGGGGAAGACCTGAAGAAATGTGCTTTTGGGCTTTTCATGGGAGTTTACTGTATTATTAACTCTTATTTCTGTCGCACAGGCCACTCCTACTAGTCGAAGAACCAGGAGCACTGCTAAACAAGCTGAGAGCCCTACCCAGCATGCCCTGGTGGAGACCAGCAGCCAGCTTGAAAAAAGTGAGGCGTCTCCACCTGCGTCCTCAGTGAAAAGATGTACCAGAGCGGCCAGACTCCACAGTCCAGAGCAGCCATGCACACCCGTGGGCTCAACCCACGAAGCGGACATATCAGACGTAGATTCCTGCTGCTCTCTGGTGTCCGACATCGAACTACCGAAGACGCGAACAGGGGGGAGGAGGAGACAGCCCCGCGCAGTAAGTCAGGAAGATGACGAGATATCTGAGGTGGAGTCGTGCTCTTCTGCAGTATCCGCGACGAAAGCTGGCCGGAGTAGCCGGCGGAGCACGAGGAGGAAGGCGGCTCCTGAAAGCTCTGATCCGACTCGTGTTGAGGTGGGAAACGTCAAGGTCGACTGGGCGCTGGAGGCCGAGTCCTGCAGCTCTGCGGTCTCTGAATCCCAGAGAGTCACCAGAAGTCAGAGGAAAATTACTCGCACCAGATCATCTGCCAAACAACAAACTGAGGACTCCGAGCTCTCAGACGCTGACAGCTACATGTCCAGCGTCTCAGGAGCTGAAGTTTTGAAGTCCACCACCCGCAGATCTACGAGATCCAGAAGGCAAACAGGTCCCATCCCCATCCACTTAGACGAAGCCTCGGAAAGCTCTCTCTCCCCTGGGCCAACAGCTCGAAGGAGCCGGGCAGCAAGAGGGAAGACAGCAGCCACTGTAGATGTCAGTGAGCCCCAGTCTTGTGACTCTGAAGGGTTTGAGTCCGGGCCCACTTACAGTATGAGGACTCGTAGACAAGGAAAGGCCAAAGCCCTAGACTCGGACTCTGACCTGACCGACGTGCATTCCCCGATGGGCAGCCCCTGCTCCACACGCAGCAGAGGGACTCCCTGCAGCAGCCGCACCGGCTCGGGGAACAGCAGCCGAGGTGCTCCGGCCTCCCGGCACTCAGTCAAGGATCTTAGTGTTGTTCTAGAAAAAGTCGCGGAGCCAGCTGAGGACACGTCATTGAATGGTTCTAGGTTAGAGACTACAGTGATCGCTGAGGACGCAGACTGCACGCTGCTGGAGGAAGACGAGAGCCAAACATTGGAAGAAAAAGAGAAGGACGGTGTGAATAGTACTGATCTCACATCAGATGAGCCTAATACAGCAAGAGTGGAAAAGGGAGTAATTGTCATTTCAGAAGAAGACTCCCATGTGTCTCCTCCACTATCAGACAGCCCTGTTTGTACTGAGGAAGCTGTTAGTAAACCTGCAGTGACTGTCAGACACCAGCAGGAGGAGCTGTGTGATGAAAATAAGGACGGGGATGCCTCAGAGATGGAAATGATGCAGGAACTAGTCCAGTCATCAGAGCCGTTAAAGCCTTGCCAATCAGTTACAGTAACAATATGTGAGAGGACTTCTGAAACCGCAGAGGAGGCTGAAGAGAAGGACCACGCTACGGCAGCAGCTGATGTGGACGCCCCCCCTTCACAGGGAGATGAGGCTGTGGATGAGGCTGCTGCTGTGGAAACCCGGCCTAGCGAGGAGGAGAAAATGGAAGTGAGCACACTGGTTGAATCCAGTGAGGTCCACGTTGAGTCCATTCAGGTAACATCCAGCCAGCAGCACAACATCACGGTGGATTCTGTCCCTGAACAGCAACCCAAAGACGTCATTGTCCAAAATAAGAAAATAATTGGCCTCCTGGAGAGCAGCGAGGATGAAGACGAAGAGGAGGAGAGGGATGTTTCTGAAGAGGAGGGTGAGGAGGATTTGGGGCATGGTTCACTGGAAAGAGGAGAGCCTTCCGATAGGTCTGCAGCAGCAGGGACATCAGTTGATGGACTGTTTATGATCGACACACGGCCTGGACAGGAGGCCGACGAACACTACTACAAGGAGAAGCCAACGGAGGAGGAGGAAGAGGAAGAGGAGGAGAAAGCCACAAAGGAGCAGCAGGAGGAGCAAGATGAGGAGTTCATGGATGAGGAAGGGGATGATGATGATGACGAAGCTGCAAACATCCTCTTCTCGAGTAGAAATCCTCTGTTGTAAGTATTCAACAGGTGGCAGCCTCAGATTGGTTCATTCACTCAGAAACACACACACACACACACACACATTAACAGAATGTTTATTTTTACATCTTCAGTATATTAATATTTATTATATTATTTATTATTGATATTAATTGTCATAGTTTTGGGAAATAAACATACACTTTTTTTAGATGAGAGCACTGATGCCACTGTCATGCTTGTATACATGAAGCTACAGTCAACAGCTGAACTCAGCATAAAGACAAAGCCTGGCTGTGTCAGAAAAAACAAAAATCAACCTCCCAGCACCTTAAACAGTGCATTTGTTGGGGACTATTTTTTTTTAGATACAGATTAATACACATTTGGTGCCCTAGTGTTTGTAATTGATTCAAAATAAACTACAGTTCATTGTAATGAAGGAACGTGTCAGCCAGAGAAACAATGTGGCTCATTTATGTCTCTAATAGTGACAATGAAGCTCTGTGGCATAAGATAAATTAGGCTTTAGCTACACAGACAATACTCGGTTTGGGTCTTTTCTTCACATTCGTTTACATAAAAGCTTTATTTAACCAGACTTTAAGAACCGACAGAACAGCCACCTCATTATAATTATTATATATTATTAGAACTGCGCACAGAGGTGAGAAATGAGACATGACGGCTCTTCCTGAGGAATTTTCTCTTTGCCAATTTGTTTCAGGAAAGAGATGTCCAGCCGTATTGACCCTGGCATCAGAATGAAGGAGCTCGGGGGTTTATACATCAATTTTGATGGCAGCAAATCAAAACCTGTCTCCAGTTCGCTGCAAAAACTAAAGGAAAAGAAGATCCAAGATGAGGTAAATAGGCGATTGATTTTTCCCTTTTGAAAGTGATCTGTGATGCAGAATGAATAATGAACTTTATAGTTATGCAAGGACAAGTAAATCCAATAACACCTGAGATGGTGTTTTTCATGGTTTCTGTCCAATTCTCTTTGACTTTGGCCTTTTATCTCTGAGTAGTCGGGTGTTGATAAGAGTTTGGTGCTTTGCAGTGTTGCAGTTTTTGTTTTGTTGTTGTCCTCAGGTGATGAAAAGGAGTGTGATTGGACCAGACTTTGAAAAGAAGGACGCAGTGCCTCCATACAGTGAATCCAAACAAGCCTTAAAGTTGAAACACAGAGTAAGTTTCACAAAGCAATGCTTTGGTTTATAGATTCTCTGCACTATCTACTACTCTAAGTTTTATCACTTGAATCATGTATCATTTGTGGAATCAGTTATGGTGGCACGTACTGCCCCGAAGACAGCCAATTCTGTGCTTCTGTGGTGCCTTTTTAAATAACTGAGAACAATGTTTTACCCAGGTTGAGAGGGAGAAATCTACAGGAGATGCTTGGTTTAATATGAAAGCCCCCGAGATCTCCCAGGAGCTGAAAGGAGACCTTCAAGTCCTGAAGATGAGAGGCTCCATGGATCCCAAGAGGTTCTACAAAAAGAATGACAGAGATGGCTTTCCCAAATATTTCCAGGTCAGTAAAAACATGACTCACCTGCCACCACCTTTATGTTTTCTTAAGAAATGCAGTCATGAGAATCAAACAGTTCCCCACAAGGTGTTGTAGTTTGTATAAGTAACTGAATTTTGCTGTATCAAGCTCTCAATATGCAATACTCTAACAATGCTTATACATTATTGACATCACACTGTGACTGTGTTTAACTGTATCTCCCTATGTGTGTCTGTGTCACAGGTTGGTACAGTGGTGGACAGCGCTGTCGACTTCTATCATTCCCGTATTCCCAAAAAGAGCAGGAAGAGAACCATGGTGGAGGAGCTGCTGGCTGATGCTGAGTTCAGGCAGTAAGTTACAGTCACTGGATGCAGCTTTATTAGGTCACATCTCTGGCATGGTTTCAGTGTCCACTCCCACAGACAGCTGAACAACAGCGGCTGTTTTATATTCGCAGGAGTAGAGTTTATGTTTTCATTTTTATGCAGGTACATTGATGTGAAGTCTGGTCCACAGGAACACTTTGGTAATAAACCAAAAAAAAAAAATCATCACAGTCCATCTGGTAGATTCTTGGAATATCTTTTATTAGTTACTGAAAGCAGTGACCCGTCAGATCTGGTGACACTAGTGGTTCAACTATGAAATGGACAGGTTGGGCTTTGCCAACCCTGCATAATGTTGTTATATAAGAAAAGTAACAAAAAGAAAACATGCTGTAGTTATTTATTCAAGGTTGGTGCAAGATATTATCAGGGGGTGTAAATAGTGTCTAGATATATTTCATTACTGGTGTGCTTCATTTTAGAGAGATGATAGAATAAACGTGTATATAATGGTGTCTGGCACTTTTGCAAGGCTCCTCTAGAGAGGTTTTCCTCTGTTAAGGCAGCTAATTGTATTTGTTATGTGCTGCAGGAAACAATGTACAGCACTACTGAAATAGAATATTTTAAACAACCACATTTGAAGAGACATCTGCATGCATCTATGTGCATCAACTTTGGAAAATAATTGCAGTTATAAAATGTACCTCTCTCTTCTTTTACCAGCAACAATAAAAAGAAGTTCCAGCACATTGTGACGGAGAAAGCAGCACAAGGAGCCGGAAAGAGGAACAACAAGAAGAAAAATAAATTCCATAAGAAGTAAATCTGAAGACTCGACGTGACTCTGAAAGGCTTTACACAGATAACTGATATTATCTCCACTTCTTTAAACATGACTACGTAAAACTTTATTGCTTTACGTGTATACACATGAAGAAGCTGACTGTATAAAAAAAGATGATACAAGATATTAAAAGTAGTCATTACTTTGTAGAGTTACCAGAAGATGTTTGTACATGCTTATATTTACAACTGAAACAAACATTGATTTTTAATCAAATGGACGTGTATTTTCCAAATGTTTTGCTGCAATGTAATCATAGTCATTCTTTAAATACATTCATCAAATGAACATTAAAACACTTTGACTGGCACTGATGTTTGTGAAGGTTCTTCAAAATGATACTACTGTTGTTTTTACTGTCTGTTGCATACAGCCAATCAAATGCTGAGTTTACAATACACTAACTACATTTAAAAAAAAAAAAAAGCACAAAACTGAGGGAGAACCAGAATAAAACAAGACTATCAAGTTGTAACAATGTTTGATCACTGCTGCTAATATTAACATTTAAAGGCAAACTCAATTTAAACATAGTTTGCAATATAATACTGCCATATTTAAAATGGAATAGATTTTTAAATGGGTTTGTATAAGAATTTTCAAATTAACATTGTGCTACCTTAACCTGAAAAAGCAAACTGAGCTTGTGGAAGTTTAACTTACGTTTTCAGAACATTTAAAATTAAATAAATGTATCTCCAGACATATTTTACTGTCAGAAAGATACGAGTAGGGTAGAGCTGTGAAGAGTAGTTTTGAATTTATGAGAGAAAACAAACATAACATTACACTGTAACTTGTCATCCTTTTAAGTAAGAAGCACGATCTGTCTGGCTGTGAGACATTTCTCCACTGGCTCTGAGTAGAGATGGTCAACATGAGTCAAAGAGATTTAGTTTAACCATTAATTAGATCCTGGCTGCATTAGTTAGTGTATCCACTGCATTGAACGAAAACTACAATATGGGATCATTCACTGTATTACCTATTCCCTCGTGTAAAATAAAATACAGTTTAGTATCTTTGAGAATGAAATGAATCTGTAAGTATAGCTGTGGAGAGAGTGCTGAACACAGCTGCATTTCATTTTATTAGCACTGATAAAAGATTTAACTCAGCTCCTGTGGTTGAATGAAATTTAAATTACAGAGAGCAGGTAACCTTTCAATGTTGAAGACGTTCCAGTATAACACTATGGATCTGCACAACCGTCTTAATTTATGTTAAGGCTACACTTCTTTGTGTCTCCTGCTCTTTCATTCAGGATTACTTTTGTTCCTCCTCTCTTAAATCTCTTGTAGCTGCTGGCTCCCAACGGTGGCTCTTGGCTACCTTCTTGTCTCTCTTTTGTGTTGTGAGAGATGAGCCCTTAACAGCTGCAGCTTACATCCACCATGTCTCCTTCACATAGACACACAAAATGCTACTTCTTTATACCCGAGCCAATTTCACACACAGCTTTAGAAAAATTTGATGACATCTCCGCTTGGTTTCACCCAAAAATAAATAAAAGAACAGGCCAGCTGATGGGTGGGAGGGAGGCAGTGCTGCTATGCACAGCTTCCCAGTAACCCCTGCAAATATCCTGCCTTTTCAAAGAGTAATGACGACAAACGCCGCTCAGCAGGTGCTTGGGATGGTTTGAAATTTAAATGAACATCAAAGGGAGATAAATGAAGATACGTGTGTGTGTGAGGGTCCGACTCACTGGGTTAATAAACTGTTAGTGTGTGTGCATCCACTCTTACAGATATAAGGCAGGTTAAAGTCAACTTTGAGAATATACATTATTAAAGTGAAGTGTCTTTGTATTGTAACCTCAGTTGTTTGGTCACCTTGTGGAAAGAGTGGCAAGTTAAAGGTCAAAGGTCAATTGGTGGTCCAAGTTGGTTTTGTGTGTCCGCAGAATCCTCTGGACTCGGCTGTGGATCTCCTCCCAGTACGATGGACTGGTCTGCAGCCTGAGGACGACAAACACCGAGAAATGGCACATTAAAAACCCAGAAAGAGTAAAGTGTTTGAGTCAGATATACCTGCATCAAGTTGGGCTGATGTAACCCTTTGTATTGGTAGGAAATAATATAATCATATTAGGGCTGCAACCAAAAAAAATATTTTCATTATTGATTAATGCAGTAGTTAATGCAGTGGGGGGTCGGGACCCCCAAAAGAGATCAAATAATAAGTCTGAGGGGTTGCAAGACAATAGGAGGGGAAAGCAAAACATATACTTATGTTTTAAAAATTGCCTTGTGGATAATTTTATTTATTCAGAACTATTCAAACAAGGCAAAGAAAATCTGGTCAATTGAGGCTGTAGTAGACATTTTGTTGGGCACAATTTTGGTCACAATTTTGGTCTGTCCAAAAACAGCAAAAAATGTCCATCACACGTCCCCCAGAGCCTTTGACAGTCAGCGGTCCTGACTGAAAGGCATTTGTCCACTAGTCTGTGCTGTAACATAAGATGAGAGAGTTGAAACTACCGGTACAGTGACACACACTTTATGTGTACTACGTTCACCGACAGAAGGACAGAGTTTCCTCCATCTAAACGTTTATTTTCGGTTCCTCTACATTCAACCCTTTTGTACAAAAAAAAAATCAAAGTCATTTCACAATTGACAGAACCAACCAAATTTGAACTGGAAGCAGAAATGTGCTTCATCAATACAATATAAATGTGTCTGCAAGTTAGTGGCCACAGGCAGTATTGAAACAGAGGCACTGACAGACAGACAGAAGTGAACAGTAATAAATTCCAGTATTGCCTCTCATCCACGTCTATTTGTTGGGAGTGGAGGGGTGATGAGTGTCTGACTGGCTGGTGTCCTGGCCCGGCTCGCAGTGTGGGAATGGAAGCTTTTCATCTGTAATCAGATAAACTCGCTACCTGCTTCAAAAAGTCATCAAGGACAAATCACCCAGAGACATGAATAGACTGAGACTTCGGGGCTTAGGGAGCAAACGTCGCCACTGGCATCTGTCATTTTCTTTATAGATCAAAGATTGGTGGTAAGACGTGCCCCTCTCCCTGTCGGAGAGAATCTACAAAGGCCCACTCTAATCCCCCACCCTGCAACTCCTGTCGCGTTTTCAATTGAGAGAAAAGTATCATTCATTTCCTACAATTTACTTTGCAGTTTAAGATTGTCTATTGATTTTAATGTTTACTTATGGACTGAGCAGAAGGGAAGGGGAAAGGAGAGCAGAAACAAACAAACAAACAAACCAAAGGGAACATCGGTCCCGTCGGTGTGTTTAACTCACAGCTGCCATGATCGATGACAAGGTCTCTCTGAATGTATTAAAGCGTGCAACGGGTCAAATGCATCAGACTCAAGCCGAAACACAAATCAATACCATTTTCCTCTTTGTTTTCCCTTCTCTCTGCCTCCTTTCTCAGTAATGAACAAACATGACAAGACATCAGCTTCTGTAATTTAAAAGGTGGAGGGAAATTCATCCTGCAGGTTGAGTGCGATCCAAATTAAAGATGGGATGTGCATGAGCTCACGCACGCACACACACACAAAGCAGCGGCAGTGTATGACTAACATCTCATGGGGTTGCCATATATTTGCTGTATACTGTAATTGGAAACTTATACAGGTGCCTGTTTTGCTTTAAGATCTTTTGAGCAAACACCAATGATTTACACAGATGGATCAGGATAAATTCAGGACAAACACCACAAAAAAAAAATAGGATTATGTTTTTTTCCTGCTTTGGCGTGAGCATGAAGAGAATCGGTTGGTTTTGTAGCCAGAAAAAACAAACTAGGGGCTCTGAGGTGATTCTGTGAGAGTTTTACTGATGTACATCTGAGGATACACTTAACCACAACACAAAGTTATACACATGCATGCTAATTACCACTGCGCCTTCCTTCCTACCATTTGGTCACAACATAACACTAGTTATTGGTTGCATTATCTTGAGATTTTACCTTTCCCTTAGGGAATGTTTGACATTCAGAGGACTTCTGGAGTTTGACACGGTCAGGGTGGACTGAGCTAAGGCAGCACTTCGCACAGAGCTTTTGGTCTGGCCTTCAAGTCTGGACTGTGTCTCTGGAGACGACTGGAGCCTCGGCGAACAGGACTGCACCTGGAAGGAGTCAGAGGGCGACAGGGTTCAAGTTAAGTGACAGGTTTAATAAGTGTATATACTTTCTAGTTGGCAGGATGTTTTGTATTTGAGCTTTGCTGAAAAATGTCAGAAAAAGTGCATCAAATCCTGGAAGCCAGTTGTGTTGTTTAGCTTTATAGAGACACTGAATGTTACCAATATTTCATTACTTTTACACAATATTAAGAAAACCTCCAGTAAAAGTGGGCAAAGAGTTGTTAGTTTGAATAGAAATGGTACATTTCAAGTTAGAACACTTCTCTAAGTGTTTTAAACACTGCTTAAATCATTTTGTAAGTCTGGTTTTGAATGTGTACATACAGTGAAAGTGGGCCATGGTTACAAATCCACCAACACAATATCTGAACACTTAACCCCATGCTTGTATTTGCTGGTTTGAAATGTTATAATTAGACTTACTCTGGCTGTTTTTGGTCTGTAGCTCCCCAGGAGAGAAGAATCTACAGAGACAAAGACAAGTTAAGAGTTTAATGAGAGCAGAAAACTCTGCTTTTGGATTGCATAACATCTACAGTACTTCCTTTAAATAAGAAATAGTTTATTTCTTAAACATAATCAGGAGTAAATTAAACTTACATTAGATATAGAGGCAGCTGTATGCAGAGCCATATGCTGTCTGTTAGTGTAGCTTCCAACATTATTACACTATGACAACTAAAACTGTCAGAAGCCCTTTTATCAGCCATTACTGATATCAGACAAACAAGCTCAAGAACCCAAAAATATAAATGTAGTCCATTATTCATTTTGAAAGACTTCACCACATGTTATCATGAAGACATAAACCAAGAAAAGAAAAACACATCACAAGACAAGACAGCCAATCTTGATATATTAGGCCAAATGCAAACAGTTATTCATGCATGACGTATAGCATAGCCCTAGATGTGTAACAGTACATGTATTTTTGTATTTGAGTGTGAATGCCAACCTGTTTGATCAGCTGTGAAGCTCACAGACCTTCGATGCATGCTGCGATTCTGTGGAGAGGAAGAAGGAGTTCCCATCCCAGAGACGTTACTGCAACCAGAGACCTGCCATAAAATACAACAGACAGTCTGCTGTTAAACAGTTTGCAGTTTGAATTATTTAAACATATATATATATATATA